ACATGTTTCTGCTTGTATCAGAATGACAGCCTTTCTTCTGGGCAAACACATTTTTGCACAGTGAAGCAGTGTGTGTGGTGGGATATTTAATCTTTAACCCACTCCCTGTGGCTTCCTCATCTCCAGCTGGTTTTTCTATATATGATTTTAGGCAAACCTTGAACACCCTGGAAGGAAAAAACAAACTAGGAGGAGTTACAGGAGGAGAGACTTTGAGCTATGTGCGCCAAATTATCTCTTCTCTAGAGGTTTCACTGTGGAAAAGCAACTGGCCAGTTAACATTATATATGGCCGTTTAGTAACATACAGGCTAGCTCAAAGAACATTTTCAAATGATTCTTTACTAACATTGGAATGCCATTCTGGAAGAAGGAAAGATGCTAATGCTAATGCTAATATAGCATGAGTTACTTCTCTTCTGGACTGGACTGGCCTAGACATGATTAGCACTTGGGTAGGAGATCTCACAAATACACGTTCAGCCTCTTTATCCATGACTGAGTGTGAATGGAGCCTGTTTCTAACAGGGCACTTAACATCAACAGCAGCAGACCAGAAAGTAGCTAACAAAATAGCTTAGATCTTAAGAAATAATGGTAAAAAATTTTAAAGGACAGATTTCAATATTTCTTGTTTCTTTTTCCCACGACCTGCCATGGGCACCATATCTTTCTGTGCCCAAGGAATATATAGCCAAAGCTTCTCATAAATTTTTTTTAAAAAATCATATTTAAGGGATATAATTTAACAATACCTTAACACCTTTAATTCTTAACATACTTCCAAGAACTTGGTCCACCCTACGCTGTAAGGTGTAACTAAAAAGCAACTGCCAATGGGCATAATCAGATACATGCACAATAGTGCCATCACATTTTTTAGATCTCCAACATAAGGGCAATAATCAGTTTTTAAAAAACATTGGTTGAGAAGTCCAGTAATAAAACATTTGGTATTCATTAAAACGATTGATTTGTTAATATGGGCAACTCTAGTTCTTCATTCCAGATTTATTTTTGCAAAGTTGATAGTGTTGGATTAGCCTCTTTAAAAACAACATAGTCAAACCAAGTGGAGGTTTAGCTGCTACTGAAGCATCCAGACCAAACAAACATAACAGGTGTATTAATTTTGTTTTATTTATCAGATTTATATAGCTACCCATTTCATAACATGACTGCGGGTGGCGTACCATAACAATCAGTTAAAACAATTAAAACAACAGTTAAAAACAACACAGTTACAAATAAAAATAGAGTAAAAATAAAACCGCAGGAGAACGGACCAGCATCCTATATGCAAAATGACCATCTTGCAGGCTCCCCATTTGGTGGCATGTATTTGGTTTGGTGGTGTATATATATTGCTGTTCAGCTTTTGTATGTGTGTGTGTCTTCGGTTAGTCTTGATTCCTGGTGCCTGCCTAGACAAGTCCTTGCTGTTTTCTTGGCAAGATTTCTAGAAGTGGTTTGCCTTTGCCGCCTTCTTCCTAGGGGTGAGAGAGTGTCACCCAGCTGGCTTCATGCCAAGGGAGGACTAGAACTCAGTCTCCTGGTTTCTAGCCTGATGTCTTTAACCACAATACCAAACTAGCTCTCGCAGCTGCTTTAGGTAAATTATATTTCTTTTGGAAAGTTTCAGGAGTCTTAAAAATATTATTAGCAAGCTGATTAAGTACCATATTTTTCCGACTATAAGATGATACTTTTTTCTAAAATCCTTACGCTAAAAATTGAAGGGCATCTTATGCAAGGAAGTAAGCCGAGGAGAGAACCGCGCGATTTCAAAACTGCCCATACTTTGTTTCTTCAAACAGGCTTCCTCCTATTGCTAGCCTCCAATCACGAGTGAAATAGCTTGTCTCTGCAAA